TACGTGGGAGGGGGAAATGGAAGAGTTTAAAGGGGGGAGAGAAAGAAGCAACACAAATGAAAATACACACAATCAACACACTCAGAGAGAGAGAGGGGGGAGAGAGGGAGAGAGAGAGAGAGAGAGACAGAGAGAGACAGAGAGAGAGAGAGAGAGAGAGAGAGAGAGAGAGAGAAACACACACAAATCACACCTGCACATACAATTTACTTACTCACGTAGACATACAAACAAAGTAACATACAGTTCTCCTTTTAATTTTTAAAAAATAAGTGCAGGGGCAGAGTAGGTGATGTAGCGTTTACACCCTTCGCCGAAGCACGCAGAAGACCAGAGTTCGAGTACCGTGTGGTGAGAGCATTAAAATGTATTGAGTATCTCAGTCTTACTGCGGGAACATTGTATCACAGACAGCCAGGGTTTGCCCAGACATGCAGGGCCGAAGCCACTAGTCTCCTAATTGATCTAAAATGGGTCGAATGGGGATAAAAACATGCATAATTACAATCATTACAGTTGCAATTCATTATCATCAAACCAGATCTGCATCAGGCATCGGAGTTCGTGGTTATCGATTCAATACTTAGCTGGGATGATCCTCAGAAAAAGCAAAAAAGCACCACTATTCTGATCTGTTCTTGTCATGTTACAGATGTTTAGGCTCTCCAGGTAGGTTGCTGTGGGTCCCTGACTCCTTTATCGTCAATTTTGTCAACGAAAGCCAGATGTTTAAGGCTCTTGAATCTATTCAATTCCAATTTTTCAAATTCCAAATTCCACTTTCAATTCCAATTCCAATTCCAATTGCAATACCTATTGCCATTTCAATTCCAGTTCCAATTCCTACACAATTACAATTACAAATGAAAGGCAGAGGGGTGAAATCAAGTGCTCGTCAAAATAATGACATTGAAGAAATCAGTCCTGCATTTCGGTTTCCAAGGACTCCCAAGCTATGGAAGTCACTTAACTTTGGCGGCCATTTTCTCTCTTATTTTACCCTGGAACCAGGCGATATCCACCTCCTTGAATCACAAATATTTTGACTTTTACTCTAGATATACCGAAAACGAAATAAATAAACAGTCTTTACGATGATACCAATAACTCCATATACATCAAATTTGGCGAGCGCCTCGTTCCACCGCTTCAATACACAATAAATAACAGTTACAATAACAGTTACAGTTACATTCACAAATTTAAATTCCAATTCCAGTTCCAATTCAAACTCCAATTCCAATTCCAATTAATAGAAACGACAATGACATTTACATTCACATTTACAATTACAATTACAAATTAAAACTACAAATATTTACAATTACGATAAATATTTACAATGACAATAACAATAACGAAATACAATTACAAATACTTACTATTACAACAACAGTCACAAATACAATTATTACCAGTGTAGGTGACGAAGATGTGATCCTCGGGCCCGCTGTCGATGACCTTGGCATTTGCCCTTCCCGTTGACCGCTGCAGCTCCTCCTTCTCCCCTTTGAGGACGTGCAGGAAGTTCCGGGGCCCTACTTCCCAGTGGCGATAGTCGATCTCACAGCCTTTGTACACATCAGGGCCCCCGGGCCTGTTGATCAGAGTGCCTGGGAGAAACGGCGGTCGTAGAGTAG